CCCCACCACTACCTGTAATGTCACTTTGGGGTCTCCAGGATGATACCTGGGAGAGGTTCCCCTGATTCCCTCTCCCCTCAGTCACAAGTAGGTCTTGAATGAGAGCAAAGACACTGCGTGTTCACCTGCCTGTTCCCCACTTTGCCCCCAGGGGTCATCATCATTAGTAGGAAAACCCAGGTAACTTGGAAAGGAGTTAGATGGACCGTGATTGGGATAGCCTGGTGGAGGCCAGAGCTGCACTAGGAGTTCCTGCTGTGTTGTAGGAGGACGCCATGGTCTGCCAGCGCACCCATTTCTCCTCTTTTCCGTCTACACCAATTCTCACAAATGACGTTTGCAACTCCTAGGACTCAAAGTTAAGGTTTTGGGGTTTCATCCCCGTGATAGGTGCTGGCCGATCCCTTGCTTTGAGGCCTGAGTGGTCTCCCGTCCTCACTGCTGCCTGCACTCTGCCCCCGCTCTGTGTCCAGGGCGCCTCTCCAGCCGGGAGTCTTGCCGACATCATGTCCCAGAAACACCTTCAGATCAACCAGACCTTCGAGGAGCTGCGGCTGGTCACGCAGGACACGGAGAATGAACTGAAGAAGCTGCAGCAGACTCAGGAGTACTTCATCATCCAGTACCAGGAGAGCCTGAGGATCCAGGGTGAGGCGGGAGCGGGGCTGGGAAGAAGCTCAGGTCCTGTCGGGAGGGAACCAGCTGCCTTTCTCTGGAGCATCGGGGACTCATTTGCATTGGGAAGATGAGGCCTGAGAAGGGGAGAAGGCAGAGGCTTGCCTTCGGAGAGTGTGGCTCCCACTCAGGCTTCCCGTACCCAGCCAGCTCCTGGTCTTGCAGGAAGCGCTCCCAGTCAGTGGACAGCACCCAGACGGTGGTTTTGTATGTTTTAGGTGCTGCTTTACTCTCTGAGCAGGGCCAGTTTAAGGGCTCAGGACTGTGTTTCTGGTGACAAACTTTTCATGTTCTGCACAGCTATTCAGAGAGGCCATCCTGGGGCACATCAGTTGCCTGTAGACAAAGGCCCCCCCCTTCCTGGTGGGAATCTAGCCTGGCACTCTGGGTACAGAGAACTTCAGAGTCAGCCCAGAGGCTGTGGAGCCTCAACAGCACCCTCTGTTGTCCTTATGGGAGCCTGGCAGTGTGGCAGTGGTTTCCTCAGAGAAGCCTTTGCTGCACAAACCAGCCATTCAAACACACACACACAATACCAAGCGTGTGGGCGCCGTCCTGTAATTATATCGATACTGTTTATTAACTGTGTCTTCCCCATTAGGATGTAAATTCTTTGAGAAGGGACTGTGTCTTACATCTCTATACCCTCAGGCCAGCACATTGCCTGAATCACAGTAGGTGTTGAATAGATGTCGGTGGGATGAGTCTAGCACAGGGGTGGGCAAACTTTTT